GAATAATGTGGAATTTTGTGGTTTCTAATCTTAAGTTGGTATTTAAAGAATAAACTAGTATTTCAAGAAAAAATATGTTGTTATATCTATGTAGTTGATAGGTATTATATATAATTACAACTTTTAAAATAAAATCTTTCAACGAAATTAAACTTGTTTTCATTATTGAACGAGGGAAGAAGTGGAGAAAATCAAAAATTTAATGAAGTATTTTTCTGAGTTTGAGTAGCTAGATTCAATGCTAGAATGAAAGTGTATCTCCAGATTATAACACTTAGAACAATAACAGTTATTATATTACAAAAATATTCTACGTTTTTTTTGGAACATGTGCCAGTTATAAACCAATAAACTTACACTAATGGGGTAGAGGATATGGGTTACTAGACATCACTTCTTTAGAGTTTCCTTCTTAAACACAATTTATTTCCTCCGTCGTTTCTGTGAAAATCATCAAACTACTTTCGAATAAAGCTGGTGTTATAGTGACACACACGTTAAACAGCTAAGTCATAAACCCGAAGGTTTAGCTATAACCATTCCTTATTTAGAGCTGCTGACCAGAAGGCGAGCATCTAATCAGTATCACCAGCTATTTATTCGGCTACTGTTAACCAAATAGTGGGAAATAATGCTGAAAATGTGGAGGATGATTAATGGCATATCGCGGCGCCAACCTTGGATCTTCCAGCATGCAGCCTGGCAAAGTATCCACTAAGCCACGCCATACTCTGCATATTATTAATCTAACTCTGTAAAGATTAAGGATTAGAGTTGTCTGGAATACCATCACTGGGCGGACCAAAACGATAGACGTCACAGGTTTCCAAATTATGACTATATGTAGGATAGGGAAGGACTCTCCATCATGACTATATGTAGAATATGCAAGGGCTCTCCATCATGACTATATGTAGGATAGAGAATGGCTCTCCATCATGACTATATGTAGGATAGGAAAAGGTTCTCCATTATGACTATATGTAGGATAGGGAAGGGCTCTCCATCATGACTATAAGTAGAATATGGAAGGGCTCTCGGTCATGACTATATTTAGGATAGGGTAGGGCTCTCCATTATGACTATACGTAGGATAGAAAAGGGCTTCCATAATGACTACATGTAGGATAGGGAAGAGCTCTCGATCATGACTATATGTAGGATAGGGAAAGGTTCTCCGTCATGACTATATGTAGAATAGGGAAGGACTCTCCATCGTGACTATATCTAGGATAGGGAAAGGTTCTCCGTCATGACTATATGTAGGATAGGGAAAGGTTCTCCATTATGACTATATGAAGGATAGGGAAAGGTTCTCCGTCATGACTATATGTAGGACAGGGAAAGGTTCTCCGTTATGACTATATGTAGGATAGGGAAGGGCTCTCCATCTGAACTTCTCATTTGCTACAAGAAGGGAAAAAGGAGTTCTGTCATTATTAAATTGCGGGAAAAATTATTATATGAGCAAAATGGTAATGACCTATTAACACGAATATTCTTCAGTTGCAATTTACTAGTATTTTACGTATGGAAAATAACATCCCGCTCCAACACTCCTCTTAAAATAAACCAATAGAAGAAATGAAATAATTACGATAAACAGAACACTAATCAACTACTTTCACCCATTTTTAGCAATCGATTATATATACGTATTATTTATTTGCTTTTTTGCTCTTGTTCAGAGTAACTACTTCACCAAAATCGTTTTTAGATGGCGAAAGGTAATTTTAGGTATGTTACGTTGAGGACTTTAGCACCTTGATTTACACCGAATATTTAGGCTTAATGATAGGGGTTAGATCTGATAGTCCGTGCCTCTTCGCTCTTATATGGATCCTAATACCTACTAGGATCATTTAACCTGCTAAAGGTGTTAGTTGTAACCGAAGTTTTGTTTGATTGTTCTAAATGTGCAACGCTTTTTGTTTTACGTCATTGCTTAAAATGTTTTAAACATACTTGCTATTAACTTAAAAAAACAAATTAAACCTAATTCTTTCCGAAAAATGTAAGGTTACTTAAGCTGAAGAACCTTTAAGAAATTAGATTTATTTAGTATACTTTGATAATATATATTACAACACTTAATAACGACAAATATATAGTACAAGCAAACATTTTACGACAATATTTAAAATATAACAAAACCCTTTGCGTTCTTGATAATCGGATCCAGCATTTAGTTTAAATTTTTGCGATAAAATGAACAGGATGTTTGATAAATATTCTCGTTAATTCTATACAATCAGGAGCAATGGAGACAATTTTATATATCACGATGATATGAACCATATCTTCTGGGTGCAGCTGCTAATTTCTTAGATAGTATGAACTTGCCTCATTATCAGTAAAAACAAAACTCATGAATAAAAAAAGTATTTTGTCTGACTTATTTGATGATCTGAATTTAATTCCTTACGAATATACACAGTTGTTTAAAGTTCATATCATGGTTATTGAATACTGATAACAAGACCTGAACAAGGTGTCTCCACGCCCAAACTTTTAATAAAGTTAGTATTGAAGTGTAAGGGCTCATTAAAATAAGTTGTTCAATGTTCACAAAAGTGTTAAGTTTAAACAGTTAAAAGGTCATGAAACTGTTAAGTTTAAACAAAACCAAGTTTCCTAAAATTTAATTATACCACAGTTCTGTAGACTGGCTGTTTTTCTAATAGTGTGTCATGAAATGCAGTCTCCTACTTTCAATAAATTGATATCAGATAGTTTCTCAGTGCGTTTCAAGGCTGTCCAAATTCTTAATCTGAAACTTTATTCACTGTCTTCAATTTTAAGGCCCCCCAGTGGCACAGCACCATGTCTGCGGACTTATACCGCTAAAAACCGAGTTTCGATACCCGTGGTGTTCAGAGAACAGATAGCCCATTGTGTAGCTTTGCGCTTAACTACAAACAAACAAATCAATTTTAAGTAGTTATTTTGTCAAATGTAAGTACTAATTACATTAGATACAGCTTATACGATACACAACAACTATTTGATTTTGATGATGGTGTTTGTCTGGATAAACCTCGGCACTCTTTAATTTACTAATATAGTTGTTTTAATTTAACTGGTATTATTTGTATATTTGTCTAACGGTAGTGAAAATATTCATCTTTCCCTAACTTCACGGTTAAAATAAAGGGCTTCAAAACTCTATGTAAAGTTTTGGAAAGACCAAAAGATTGGTTTCAGAACTTATGTTGTTCTGTAATACTGGGTACTGTCCTGAAATAATAATTTAGATGTTAGTGGAGCAAACAGATGCGTTTTTACAACCGTAGACACGAAATACACATGAGGAGCCTTTTCTCCAAACTTTTTCGATGCAATTTTAAGATTAGATGAAAAGATTTCAAAGAGCGATGACATCGATGACAAATAAATCAGTATATAAAAATGAATTGTGATCTTCGTCTTTATACAACTTCGTAGATTAATGAAATAGTTTCAATACATTTTATCATCTGATATTGATTTATAAAATATAATAAAACGACTTAATCCATCAAAAATATATAATAAATAGATACCTATCAGATTTTGTTTACAGTTTAACCTTTATTTCAAATACAGGTTTTTGGGTAGCGCTTAGGGCACTCACTTCATGTGGGCTTGTTTTATGCCGATAGCAACTGTTTGTGATGATCAATATTTGTAGTTCTAATTAAATGTACAATTTCCACAAGTCAATCGCTAGGAATTGTATTAGATAATAAGAAGACAAAATAGATATAGGTTTTGAAGACCACAAAGCCCCTAAGTGACACAACGATAAGTCTACGGTTTTTTTTAAAACGGATTTCGATAAATGTTGTGGGCACAGCACAGATAGCCCATTGTGTAGCTTTGTGCTTAACTACAAACAAATAAGAAGACCGTAAAATAAGCATATTTTATACTGGAACAACTTTTGTTTTTCATAAAGCCTCAATGTGCTGCTTGAGATGTTGTGTTTTGGTGCATCAACACATCAAGAATGGTGCTTTGTATACTGATATCGGTACATTATAGCAAACTCTTTAACTTGTAGCAACTTAGTTACTGTCATTGCGATTTTTTAATACCTTATTTTAACAGTATATCATAGCGATTATTCGCGCCAGTTATTACATTTTCTGAAAATAGTGAGAATTCAGACTAGACAATACCTGAGTAGTTCCATCTTGTACAATAAATACACAATATTTCATCACTTTAAAATAACTAAAGTTCTTTTCACAACATATATGATTTCTAACAAACTCTAATGCTGATGGTTGGTCCAAATCACAATAATCAAATTGGACTTGGCTTGTGATGGGACTTCTAATAACCATACTAAGTATTATATGTAATAGGCCTTTTAAGAATATATTATATGTAATTTTAAAATATTTATACTCTATTTTTGGTAGAATTTAAATGCAGAACATGTTTCATTCTATTGCAAATTATACAAAATCAAAACTGTAATGTATCATCTCCAAACCATTATACATAACGGCCTGTTTTACGCTTGCTTCAGATCTTTCGGGTCTCAATATGTGCGCACGTATCTGTATGTGTGTATGAGTTGTAGCACAACTGTTATTATATCAAATGGCTTATATAAATAGTGTTCCTACCACTGTTATGTTGTATCCTAACAGTCCTGAAGAGCTCTGTATTGAGAATATGACAAATGTAGTGGATTTGAAATACTATTATTATACAGTATTCTAATTCTTAAAAATCCCTGAGGAACTAAATAAAGAATGCAATGTTTAAAATGAAATAAGCCTAATGCTAATGTCCTATAACAAGTACACTTGTTGACCCTACATGTTTTTGTGATATCATGAACATATAATGGTAATTATTCACACTAGTTGTTAGAATATGCTGCGTTAGCGTTTAATATTGTTAGATAACACTGTGCACAATAGCACACTGATATCTGTTGACTCTTAACTACTGTGTAGGGATCTGTATTTGTGACGTAAACGTTGATAGCTTAAGGAATAACTTATGAAGTTTGTTTCTGGGAGAGAATAAAAATTTTGCAGCTGTTTTACACTATAAAGGAACTGCTTCCAATCTGACTAGTCAGTCCCGAGTCGTTTCTTCTGAGGAGACAAGTTCAGGAACTTGGACAAGATAGAGGTAAGGTGCTTCATTTTCATTTTAATATTATATACCTAAAATGATATGGAAATCTTAAAGAACTTTGGACTTTACCATCCACGAACTGGTTTTAGTACTTACATCATAAAACCTTAGATAGAGTATCTGGTTTTTCAGTGTATTCTGTTTTTTTAAACACAATACAATCATGCAGTCAAGAAGAGCTCTAGTATGGAAATAAAACAAATACTAACTTTCTATAATTAACATTACCGCTAATACTACTGAGACAAACAAGCTCACTTGCTGTTATAATTGTTCCTTCGTATATAAACATTCTGTTTTTCTTAACACTTATCGACTTGAATGTTAGATTTCAAAGTAAGCTTTAATAGAATATGACGTATGTATGAATAATGCCATTACAGAAAGTATTTTATACACTCTATTTGTTCTCTAATAGATGAAGATAACTGTAGCCACCTTTTGCTTACTTCTTCTGGCAGCTGCAGCCCATGGTAAGTTAGTTATAGTCCTGACGTATATAACAAATTGTTAACTTTTTTATTTTGAGTTGGACCAAGAGATATGATCATCGAACAGAACGTATTGTAGGAGTCTTATTATTAAGACTATCACTAAATAGGTGTAAGCTATATGCAGTTTTTTCAGGTATCTTAATGCTTTAAGCTTAAGTAATACGAGCTATGTTATTTACTAAGTTCGTGTAACAATGAATTACGAAAGATAAAAAATACACTGTGGTTATGAGAGTCTACGAGCTTTTTTTATTACATTTATCTAGGAAAAAGTCTAAATCATTAAAAATAATCCATACAAAATACATCAACTTGAAGCTTGAGTTACTGCCTGAAGCAAAACATTTACAAGTTAACAGATGAAATGTTTGTTTATTTGTTATTAAGCACAAAGCTACACAATGGACTATCTGTGCTCTGCCCACCGTGACTATCTAAACCCAATTTTTACTGTTATAAGCCATCATAATTACCGCTTACCCCATCGGGTAGTACATATATATAGTGAGCCTAAGACTATCAACAAAACACTTAAACCTTTAAATTACGATGACTTGACTGTTCAGGACCACAGCTGCTCGAAACCCACATTGATACGGAGTGGCTACTTCCACACAGTATGTAATCTTTATTTCTCACTATGTTGTTTTTTAACGTAACACCAGGGACTATATAAAATTATTTTCGAAAGCAAGTTCTAAACTATTTACATTTAGTTATTTTATTTTAATATATAGAGTAAAAATTTCCTGAAGCAATATTTATTGATTTTCCGTTTGAGTAGTTGTAGATTAAATTTCTCGTCTTCCCTGTTAAGTTACATACATACTTCTCACAGATCGCACCCTTTGGACAGCAGAATGCCTCGTCGCCACAGCAAACTGCGTCTATTGCATTACAGCACCAATATCGGGCATTCGTGCGAGGGCAGCACGTGTTTCTATTCGGGCAGGTTGATTTATCACCACATTTAATTACTCCTATTCAATGAAAAAATAATAACGATTTAGTTACAATTAAGGAACATTTACAGGATATGAACACGAAAGAAAAACTTAATATTTTGTAATTTACATAAGAATATTTGATGAATACTAAGTTGAACCAACAAGAAGTTAGAAAGTTACGTTAAAATAAATAAATTATTATGGTATGAAGCGACATTAGATTATGTATGTCAAGTATGCTCAACTAGATTATATATTCTATTTCATTTCATTTTGCATTAGACTTTGAATTTGACCCGCTAATCGGCTTTTAAATCTCAGAATCAGTTTATACCTACATCTTGGTTGAAAGTGCCAATTTCAACTGTTTTATTTAGCACAGTGGTTTTCAAACCTTACGAAGCCATGAAACCCTCGAATTTCATCCCTTCTGCCACGTACGTAAACATGGGCAAAGTTACTTACATAAGAATGTTCATTTTGTTTTTTTGTATATGTGACTGTGTGGAGAAAAACCGAATATCGGCCAAATGATGTTTTTTAATATATATTTATTTCCTGACGAATTAACATTCAATAATTGAAAATACTTCAATTACTTGCTATCTTTATGGGGAATCCCTAATAAACGTACCCGGGACCCTGGAGTTCCACGGAACACAGTTTGAAAGCCACTGATGTAGCATACCGTCTTTACGGACTGGGTTCGATCCCATCCAGTAAGTATAATTTAAATGTTACAACTTCCTTAAATCAAAAGTGGAATGAAACATATAAAGATAGGCATACATATTTCAAATATAAAGCATGCCGCAGACAAGTTGGCTGGGCCATGGTTCCTCCTGTACAAGTTACTCCGGCTATTCAGTATTAGAAACCGAAGTGAAGATTTCCACAAGGACATCAAGAACAATGTACGACTAAATCGTTTAAAGTGAAAATTAAATAACCACTAGAACTCTGTGTCATGTGCGAATTGTGTCATTCAAACTTTATCGTAATTACTGTTAAATCATAGCCTTCAACGGATTTTTATCAAATAAAGTTATAGAAATAGTTTTGAATTTATAACAAAAAGGAGACATCAATAAAATAAAATAAAAACAAAACAGGTCAATAAAGTAAATTAAAACACGTACAGACATTTCGTTACTACTATTGCTAATCAAAGAAGACCATATAAACAAACGCCACTAAACCGAAATAGATTCGATCATTGCGACGATTATAGAACATGCAGGTTTGGGCTAAATAACGATCTAACAAAGAAGATAAGTATTAGATAATGTAAAACGGCATTTGTGCAACATATATTTATATATATATATATATATTTAAAAGGAGTACATCGTTAAACTAATTTACTAAAAACAGAGACTAGCCCTCAAAAGACTCCGTGTTTCGGTGAACATGTAGAGTTTTTTAGGGCTGGTCCCTATTTTTAATAAATTATTTATTGTGTAATTATTTTAACGTTATAAGTTTTAATTGTACTTATAAATATAAGAGAAATATTTCTCTTCATTTTTGCAATTAATATTCTAAAATATATTTTAAAATCTTTCGTAATAAAAAATTATCTTTTAAACTACACTTTAAAGTGCTACCTTTGTTCACCATTAACTCCATTTGGCAATGAATATGACTAAAAACCATAGTTGATGAAATTCTGAAGGACTAGTCCAATTGTATACTCACTACGGAAAATACAAAGAGAGAGGAAATTATTTGGCATGAAAGAAAAATGAAATAGAATAATAATAACTTACTGCATACATATTTTGCCTTTTGTCAGGCTTATTTGGCGAACAGATTATGTATATATTATTTTCACATTTTTATTGCTGCCTAGCAGTTAAAATAGTGCGAAAATAAAAGAACCGAAGCCTCCCCGTGGTACAGCGGTATATCTACGGACTTACAACGCTAGAAATCGGGTTTCGATACCCGTCGTGGGGAGAACACAAAATACCAGTTTTGTAGCTTTGTGCTTAACTTTAAACAAAAGCACAGTAAAGGTTTGTAACTTATCATTAATACAATTGTGAAGAAATATAAATGTTATTTTAGTTTTCGTGAAAACGGTATCATTTTTATCAAATGTCAAGTTCTAATATATATATATAAAATATTGTATCTCGAGTGCAAATTACAAAATAGTTGTAGTTAACGCACAGATACACACAATTGGATATATGCACTGTGCTCAATACTGTTATCAAACCCCAATGTTTTGCGTTATAAGCTTACCGTTGAGCCACTAGGAGTCTTCAAGAAAAAATAACCCCCTCAAAAATAAATAGGTACAGCCTGTAAAGACAATTTGTCAACAAGTAAATAAATCAATAAAATCATACATCTCACTGTTTGACTTTGTTAAGGCAATTAGCACTATACAAAATAAAACTAATATTTCATTTTAACAAACAATTACAGATAACGAAGTTTTACAATTTTTTTCATCAAAGTTCAATTTAAACTCTAAATGAAGATGGAGAGAAG